GTATCATGTTACTCAAAACAACTCATTGCCAGAGAGTCAGCACCTATAGGACAGGCTAGAACTGCCTCTTGAGTTTAGGAGACTCTAACTCTTTACTTGAATATAAAGCCCCGTCTTTTTCCTATGAAGTGGCTGATGGTTTGAACTGCTGACCTTGCAGTTAGCAGCCCAAAGTGTAACCACTATGCCACAGGACGCCTGTAACATGTTGGCTTCCCTAATAAACCCCATAATTATATTGTCTGTGAATTATGGGTAGCCATTGAAACACATCAAATTCAACAGAAAAGTAGAGTGCCATGGGGGAATAGCTGCTTTCAAAATGTGATAAAAAAGATGGAAGCTGGAGGAGTGTCTGACCATTGCCCTGTGACAGTCAATTGCTATGAAGCAGGGTTCTCTTTTCTCATACAATCAGAGGAAATCAGATGTGGCCCCTTAGACCATTTCTTCAGACACAAATTATCATAGGTCATCCAAGAAGAATTATATTAACTGAATGGCATACCTTTTGTGGAAATAATTGGTTTGTGCTTAGTAACCTCCCTACTTGGATAGGGGGTGGAAGGGAGTTTGGACATTAAGATCTTGGCCCAGACTACTTTTCTGGCCAATTCAACTGAAATGTTAAGAAAAAAAATCCTAGTTATACACACGTTTTCCCAATTAATTGAAGGCAGGAAATACCAGCTCATTCTATAAGAACAGGATTAATATGAGAAAAGGTATTTAACATCTGTACACTAATAACTATATCGCATCGCTGAGAGAGATTAACAAAGGTCAGATAATGGTGCAACATAGTGAATTCACAGATCACAAGATTTAGAATTTTTCAGACATTGGCTTCCCTGATATATTGAGAATTCAATTATAATCCTTGAGAGTTTTTTTTAAATTGTAGAATAACAAGTCGATTTTCAAATTTACAAGATAAATAAAGAACCTGGAATATCTCAATAACTTTGTAGAAGAGCAAAGTTGCAGGACTCACAAACAAACCAAAATCACTGTGAATAAGCTGATGCCAACTCAAAGGAAAGGGGAGAACTGGCCCTATGAATGAGCTTCAGTGAGTTCACAATAAAATGTCATTAAAACATAATGGAAAGTTTCCATTGACTTTTTGAAGCCTCCTTTTAAATAGATAACTGATTTTTGGACAGTTTTGAAGGCAAACTAGTGAAAAGAGGATCGTGTTTTCAAGGAATTATTGTAAGCAGTATGAGAAGCCTGCCTATTAGCACTTCAACTTTCCACAGTAAACATGAAATTTCCTTAAGAATGTAAGGCACTAAGCACATTTCTTTCATTTTCAAACACCTATATGTTTTTTTCTGGATTTGCTTTCCATGATACTGTGTTTGGTGTTCCCTTTGGGACGCCCTTGAGCTTCACTTTGAGGGGACTTAGTTTGATAACCATTTAGAGCCTGCTCTCCAAGATAATATATGCCATCCATCTATTTTAACTCAGTTCTGGTATATCTTTTAATAGACCTTTCTGTTATTTAGACCATTTTGCATAGGACTGCTTGTAACAAACCAAACATTCCATCTTCTAAAACCAAACACTCTCTTGTAATTCAAACTCTTATGCATGGATGTTTAGGATATGATACAGGAATGGACTGCATTATAATTAAATACACTAAAATCCTGATTTTCAGACTTTCTTTGCAATATTCTAGCTTACTGTATTACTCCTATCTTTACTTTTTGGTGCAAGAAAGCAAAATGTTATTGGAGAAAATAAGCCTAACAGTTTTTCAGTTGCCTCAGACCTGTAACACAGTTGATCCTCCTGACAAATATTTTCTAGATTATGAAAAGCAAGCAACATAGTTCAAATTGCTTTTAAAACAATTCAGAAAAGTATAATTTTGGTCTATAATTAGTACTTTCTGAATACCAGTCTCTAGGGATTCTCTTTTCTCTGTCATCTTTTGTTAGATAATTTCAGTAGATTCCCTAGTGTCCTTATTGAGCAAAAAGAGAAAAAAAAAGGAAAGAAAACTTTAGCTACTCATGTCATATATTAAGTGTCATTACTTAAAGATTTTGATTTTTTCATGTAGCACTTATTATTAAGGAAAACATATAAATGACATAACCAAAATGGAAAAAATGATAGCATTTTTACTATCTGCATCCTGAGGTATCTAACATATGTTAGCTCATGTGAAAGTGGGAAATTTCTTGAAAATTTAATTATTTTTTATCTTTCTTTTAATCCTTCTGAAGAAATAATTGGTATTTAATTTCCCCTTTAATAATTTAGTACAAGTATTTAGTACAACATAATCATACTTATTTTAATTTCCATACACATTCTACCATGTCCCACAGCAAAATATATACATCACAATATATCCTGTATAAGGTAAGTACATTTCTAATTTGAATTTATCTTTTCTTTAATTAGAATAAACTTAAAAAATACATTAGAAGTCTAAGTCAGGGAATTGAATTTGTCCTTAAGTTTTCCTATTAGAACTACTTTTTAACTACAGTGATCAATTATTACATTTGTAGAAAGCACTCAACATTCACAACTATTTGTATATTCTGATTTTTAGGAAATACATTATTCCCAGTTCAAGGCTAATGACAAATACTTACTTAACGATACTTGAAAGATTGTAACTAACACAAGATATTGATAAGATAAAAAGCAATGTCTTTACTAGTTACATGAGTGGGATTCAAAAAATTGATAGAAATCATGACTTCAAATATAATGGAATTTTCCAACAGAATCTCAGAAGCTTGTTAATATTTAGTCTACCACATCATTAGTATTCCACGTATAGTGAACTGAAAAAGGTATATTTATCACTTTATTACAACAGAAGAATTTTTAATAAAAACAAACAAACCAACAAAGACTAATGAAATAGAAGTATGTTATGTTTGAATGCAAGGAATATTATGTGATATTGGAAGAAATCAATTGCCTATGTTTTTTAAATTGTAGAGATTCAGTAGCTTTAAAAAGGACAAAAATGAATAAAAGAATAAGTCAAGTTTGTAGAAGAGCATCAGAATATGTTTGAACAGTTAAATGAAGAAAAATTATTTATGCAGCACTTGCTTTTTCTTTCAATTATAGCATCTGTAAATAATAGAGAATAAAGTAAAAGAAAGCCTTCATTACTTCCTGGTTGTTCTGAAAATCTACAAAGTCAAGGATGCTTACTAAAGTGCAAAGAAAATATGTCACACATTCTAATGAGTAGTTATGTGGTTTTGC